CCACATGCATTTTATGATTATTAAACACTTACAAACTTTCTTGATCTTAGCTTCGTAATGTTTGCCAACATCATGGTTTTATATACAATCATTTATAACTATTACTTTGAATTATATAATATAATAATATAAGAATACCTTATAATAAGGAGTAATTACTGAATCATAATAATTACATTTTATCTAATAATTACATTGTATTATCTTTGCGGCTCATGATTGGCTTTAATCAAACAATGTCTATCTTCTTGTATATATTTTTGTTAATACAACTGGATATGTAGAATTGAGACTGATGAATTAATGAGTAAACATTGCATTCTTCCGGATTTAGAAAGCCAATAAATAGTTGAAAGCAATGATTCAACCACAACTTTGTTTACTTACTTAGAAAATAAATTATTTTATTAACAGCTTTTAGATTGGATTTATCGCTTCTCATTTCGTTAGCCTGTGTTTCAAGAAAGAAAAATTCCACGAATAATCAAAGAGAAACAAATGAGGGATTGAATCGATAGAAGTAAATAAAACAGAAGCATACAGACTTTACAAATATACCACCTGTTAGAACTTTTAAAGTCAAATATTTTAAGAGTCAAAAGACAAAATCCAACGATTATTAAATTTGGGCTCCCTTTTAGCTAATACTGAACACCGCCTCCGCCCCGTTTTTCTGTCACTGCCCTTAAAGTGTCCATTTGGTTGCCGTTATGGGGCTGCGTTTCGTGAACGTTTTGTGTTTCTTCCTTGTTTATTCTTTTTCCCACAATTTTGACAAAAATGATAACTATTTAGATTATACAACTGCACTTGTTAATAGATATTCATCTTGGGACACAAATCTTATAGTTCTAATCCTATATCAAAGCAAGGTGAGAAAAAAGTTATTTTCCATTACAATTAACAAATATGTCTTCGCGGGTTAGACTACTTTTTATAAGAACAATTCGTTTAGAGTTTTTATAACGTAAATAAAACATAGAAACAATTGACTATATTCTTTTTTGTTGTTGGGATTACTATGAATAGCTCTTCCTCCGGAGCAACTTTAGTTAGTATGCAACAAACGTATGCAGGTTTGGAATTATAAATGATTTATTTTCATTTGTATCAAAGAAACAAACTGACCATCATACCAACATAATGCTTTCATTTTGCAGACAAAATCCCATCGTTTATTTACTTCTTACGAGAAAGCTACTCATACAATATTTTGTGAAAATACATTTTGTAAAAATAAAAGCAAAAATGCTAGATTGACTGAATATTGAAATATGAACGATGAGAAAAGGGGTGGTTATTAGGTATTGCAATATCTTATTAAGAAAAAATAAATACATATGATTACAAAAATCTTTCGTTTCTTAGTGAAAATCTTATTTCCCTCGATTTCCTACAACTTGTGCAATAAAATCATTTTGCTGTGTTACAACTATCAATTTAGTCTGATAACATTGCTACATCAAACTTCTTGTAATGTTTGTATACGGCAACCATTTGGTATTTAACTTTTTACCTGTTTTCTGGTTATAACGTTTAAGGCATTGTACAATGTTATATGTTTATGCTTTTTACACAAAAAACCCCATAGATGTTATTAATAGACAAGTTTCCAATTACATTTATAATTATGTTTGCCCATTTCAATAATATAAATCTTTCCGGAATAAACTATGAATGTTTATTGCTTAGGTTCAAACGTGCTGGATTTACCTGTTAGATATAATAAGTATCGCATAGATACATGTTGTTAAATGAAACCGATTTTTACAAAACAAGAATGACAAACTACAACATGATAATATGGCGCTTTGAAGTAATAATGAAATATTGAACTGTAATCTGTTTTAATGATGCATATGTATCAAGCTTTTATTTTAAGAATTTTCAAGATATGACCATTGTCCTGTTTCAGACTACAGAGATATTCACAAATATGACTGTATTGAATATATCTCATTTTTTATTACTTTGAAAGCTGATTAATTTTCAAAATTAAGAAACATGAAAGTCATAGCTTTAAAGTTTTATTTATAATTGTTGAGAAATACAAACTGAGGAAGTTCGTTTTATTTTGTTATAATAACGTATTTGTTTGTGAAAGGTATAAAATAGAGAGAAATGAAGAATTCACAAAGAACGTGCAAAACAACAAAATTAAAAATGTTGCAGGTTCGGATTGATTGAGCCTGTTCATGGAGGTAACGGAATGTGCAAGTTACCGTCAAGCACCGGCTTAAGCAGTATTCAACATTTAACATGAACTGGTAAAATTTGGAATTATAAATAGTTTTTATGTTTATTTTAAAGCTCTTTTAATTTTAGTCATGTTAAAGGTTTGAATATAAAGCCAAGAGTAAATAATTATGGAAACAATAAGATAGGTTCAAAACTAATACTTATTGTGTCAGTGTTTGCTACATGTTTTGCGAAATTGAACTAGAATTTTCGAATTGTTATTAACAAATAATTTACAAATTTGCATTTTGTACAATACCAGCTAACCCGATTCGATGATATAATTTATTGCTGAATGGTGTCACTTCTTATTTTTTATCCTATAAAGAATAATTTCGGTTTGTTGAGGCATGGTTATTTTCAGTAAGTGTCTTTTATAACCTTAGAAGACATCTAACAAAATATCAAGAATATTGGCCCTAAGTCCAAATGGCCCAAAGAAGAATCGACTAGAAAATAGTCAAATCGGCCGTGTGTATTTCTATTAATAAGCCAAATAGACCATTGGAATGTCTGATGTGCTCCATTTGAAGTCACTTCGGCTTAAAAAAATGTTTAAAAATTATGATTTGTTGTATCATTCTATTTGTTGACTTGAATGTACTTAATCAACCATTTAAACTGAATGGAAGGCAAATATGAGAAAACATATTTATATCAAGTAAACTACGTCAATGGAAAACACATTAATTACCAAGGAAAGCTTTAGAAAAAATGGATGTTTTGGCAAAAATTGGGATTCTACTTTTTATAAAAATTGTATAAACAAATAGTTATGGGTTGTATTTTATACATAAACAAGAAAAGAAACTTGACGAATGTTTTCCTCTTGATGTGAGGTCTGCAGCTAATAACCTTTCTATATTTACATTATCTAAGGATTCTATCTTTCCTTTCAACAGTAAACATGTGCAAGCTATGTCACTTTTAATCAATATTTTCCTTCATTTAAAGAATGCAACCCTGATCAGTAATAGACTTAGCGGTATGTGATCACTTCTAACTTGTATACGGCATTTTTATACTTTCAAGTAAAAACATGTTCACTTCTGTTAATAAAATAATTCAATGAAGGTGGACGGAACCATTAATTTGAAATATATGTACATTAAGTAGAATCAGAGGAATGTCTGTTTCACATTTCAAAGAAGAAAAAAATAAAAGTAAGATTTATGTTATCAGAACTCTTTGATCCTTGTATAAATCAAGTATTTCCACGACGTAATGTATATGTATATCACATCCATCTATATTATAAAGTTCACTTATTGGATCAACTTATCTCACATAAAGCTGTTGTACATCTTCTCAGAACTATCACAATCATAACAACATATTTAGCTTTTAAATTACAAACCTGAGTTTATTTAAATATAATCATTTTGAGCTGGAATGTTTCAAGAGCTTTAACTTTTCTTAACTATACTTGCATGAATTTTACCCATAAAAGTCATGCACTCACCTTTTGTAATTACTCTTAGGTATTAATTCCATCTCCTTTAATATCAATCTCAACTACTTTTATAATAAAACGATACAAAAATTGATGAAATTACTATTATTGAAACTTGAACATTTGTTGCAATTTTATTTCGGTGACGGCCATTAACGTGTCCCTCATCTCCTTTCGACGCCCTTATGCCCACTCCTGGTTTTGGTTTGGTACCTTCTAGGTGCCCTGCTGTGGACGCTTGGGTGTGTCAGGGCAGAATCATGTGCACGACGTTGCCTTTGCCTTATTGATCTTTATTCTCGTTTTTTTATGTAACAAAGCAAGAAAAATGGAATATCCTCGAATTCTATTCGAAACAACATGTAAAAATGTTACTTTTTTTTTTTCTCTTTAAAGAGAAGTTTTTTTCAAGCGAATATTAACAATACGCTATAATCAAATATTATAGTATATGAAGGTTTGAAAAAATGGTTCAGTTGTACTAAGCTATGTCTGGTCTGTGTTGATAAGATACGTGTTTCAAGAACACAAAACGAAAACGTGCATAATCATAAAATGGTAACTGTCTAATTATCAGCTGATATGACGTTTTCAACATGAGGGAAATTGAAAATGTCACAGGAAGTGAAATTAACTCGTTAATATTCATAAATGTACTCTAATTGTTCTTTTAACATAAGATTAATCAGTAAAGTTATTTTAGCAGCACAATTCATTTGTGATGTTATATAATGACACACACTTCTGAGAAATCATTTGTAACAAGGAAATGATTACTTAATTAAGTAATAAATGACGGACTAAATAAGAAATACCAAGCATTTAGAAGAAATCACGACATCGCCATTACCGTTCTATATTTGTTTAAATAACAAGCATTTGATTAAAAAAACTTAGTAAGAAAATGCTATTTTGTGCTTTTTGAATTCCATGCTAGATGATAAAACACAAGGGACGCCAATTAAATTTGGGATAACATTGAATGTGAAATAATGAACATAAAAGTAATTAGTTAAATACGTTTTCGTTAGTAAATTGCATCATCTTTATCAGCGTCTTGGCACTGAAAAAAGCGATCAATATATATGTATATTTTTATTGGGATTTACTTCGCTATGACGACTTTCTGACTTTACTGGTGGTGCAAGACCTCAGGAGCTCCGAGTGGGCATCTGAGAAAAGAACCACCGAACGTTCTGTAAGCTAGCTGAAAATACGAGGCGCAAGTCAGCTAAATATTTTATAAACAGTTTTGGAACACAGAATATAACTAGGGTGAAAAACAATGTAAATCTTTGGTAAATATTGCAGATTTTACTTTTTTTATCAACACGTTCATGTATGTTATCAATGTCATTATACATAACATTATAGTTTAATTTACACCTATACACTCACTTAAATATATAAAGAAGAATTATGATTGTGCATTATGGGGAAATGAGGTGTACATAGAAACACACTAACAAATTAAAATGCCATGATTAGGTAAAAATGATCATTAATCCTTAGCCTGGTTAACCAATGCGATCACTGCAGACCAAGATCAGTTCATCTGTGTCACTGTTCGCTATTCTGAAATTCTGCCTAAAATGTTAAATGGTTTAGTCAAGCATGTTAATTTGAAATATCCAGTGCTGTAACGGTTTTATAACCTTTAATGCAAGTATTCTAGTTTTTCTATGGTGTTATTTAACACATATTAACTGTTGAATATGTCATTGCGTTTACTTAATTCAATATATTTTGTCAAATAAGCACTCGTTACCTTCATGTATTGATATGTGTATGTTATAATTATCATTTTCATAATATAATTTGTTTAATTCCCATATTTATCCTATGAATTAAAAACTTAACCCTGCATATCATTAAGAGCATCTATATGGTTATTATTTGAATGATTTAGAATCCCATTTTTCTCGTCATCATCATCTGATGATTCGTCAACACCTTGCATTTTGTAGTACCGTTTCACCACGGCTTTCCATTCAATTGCGTCTTCTAACCTCTGAGGTCCATGATGACTCCGTACCATTCCGGCTACACCTGAAATGATATGGTTTCTTGTAATTATTTTAACAAGAGCGATCAGTAATCACATGTGTCGCCTCATGATGGCCAATTTCATGTTTGGACAAGTTTTGTGACAGACGGACAGACAGACGGACAGTGCACAACTAGACTTGGTACTGATCATTCCTGTAAAGTTTGGATAAAAATTGCACCAGACGTTTATGAGGAGTAGTCCGGACAAGCTTTTGTGTATCTGGCAACACACAGAAAAAAACACCTTTTTATCAAAGGACCATAACTTGACCAAAAATCATTCAACCGGTAAACCCGTGCAATATGCGCAAGGACTTAAGCTACAGATCAATCTTGTAAAGTTTCATTGAAATTGCGTTAGTGGTATAAGAGAAGTAGTCCGGACAAACTTTAAAAATAAAAATTATTTAAGGGCCATAACTCTGACAAAAATCATTGAACCGGAAAATGCTGACAATATGCACAACTAGACTTGGTACTGATCATTCCTGTAAAGTTTGGATGAAATTGCACCAGTTGTTTATGAGGAGTAGTCCGGACAAGCTTTTGTGTATCTGGCAACACACAGAAAAAAACACCTTTTAATCAAAGGGCCATAACTTGGCCAAAAATCATTCAACCGAAAAACCTGTGCAATATGCGCAAGGACTTGAGCTACAGATCAATCCTGTAAAGTTTCATTGAAATTGCATTAGTGGTATAAGAGAAGTAGTCCGGACAAACTTTAAAAATAAAAACTATTAAAGGGCTTTAACTCTGACAAAAATCATTGAACCGGAAAATGCTGACAATATGCACAACTAGACTTGGTACTGATCATTCCTGTAAAGTTTGGATGAAATTGCACCAGTAGTTTATGAGGAGTAGTCCGGACAAGTTTTGTGACGGACGGACAGTCGGACAGACAGACAGACAGACGGACGGACAGACGACGGAGAAGTGATTCCTATATGTCGCCGATACTCCGTAGAGGCGACACAAAAAGGGAGCGATTATAGACTATGACGTCTATTTAAGATATTCGTCTATCTAAGATATCCTTAAAAAGGTGCATAATCAGAAATATAGAAAATCCTTTTCATGTATTTCATTTAGTTTTCTTTGCAAATATTATATTAGGCATGTCTTTAAATTAACGAAAAAAATATTACAGATTGTGGTCCATTGAAGAAAATATTCTTTGCGAAAGAAAAAAGACATTTATTTTTGCGCTAAACAATTTTGCACGAAAAAGTAACAGTTTCGCAAGAAAACCCATATTTAACATGAAGAGAATTGCTAAAGAAATTACACCATAGCGATATATGATGTAACATTGATTTTCTGTTATTTGAGACTATTTATGGCATCGTTGTGCCACTATTTTTCATTTTCCTATAAGATAAATATTCAGCGCTCTCATGCGTGACTTACATCATAATGGGATTTTTATACAAAAATGACACTACATCTACACATTTTGGATAGTATTGTCATCATTAATATCACGTGTCAGAGACCATTTTATTTAAGATTGCTCTACATACTTTATAATGATTACTAATGTTGTAGTTTCTTGGCATTTTTTGTAGTTAATATTCAAGCACCAAATACAAGAAGTACTGTTTGTTGACTTATAAATGAAAAGCATAATTTTTGCTTGTATTGTCTTAACTATTTAAAGGAACGTTAATCCTTAGAAATAAATACATGTATATTTCATCTTTCTGTAGAAAGGGCAAACATGAATTTTCTATGATGTTTCAATTATAGTTTTAGAACATTATAGATGCTTAGTCAACAGTGCCAAATGTGAAATAATTTCTAATAAATGTAGCTAAATGTAATAAAAGTGGTATTTAGACTCCCATACAAAATATTTAATCACAATAACTGTTCTAATTACTAGAACGCAAGTGAAGAAAAAAATGGCTCAGCGGCGTATCACAGAACATCAAAAAAGAAAAAAGGTTTTGAATATGCCACATTCATTCTTCTGAAACCAGGTGAAATTTTGTCATGTTATGATATATGATAATCAATTCGATTATACGCGATTGTTCACGTTAGTAAAATTATAATAACATTGTCAGCTCTTGTGAACGTGTTTCACATTCATATATCAATTCTAATCACTAAATTAATCAAATTATTTGTAAGAGATAGGAGATAATAAAAGATAGTTCTAATTCAGTCTCGATGAGACTAAAGTATAAATAACGACATTAGAACAACACGAAGATATATCTGATATCATACCATCTGGAGTGATTTTTGCACTGCGACGTCTTCGGATTGTTTGGAGCCAGACGGCAGAAGAATTTGCTAGAATGTCCATCGATCTTGTATCTGACAGAGCATCAATGTCATCCTCCTCGTTGATGTAGGCTTGTGCTTGAGCACTACATAATTTACCTGTAAATATCATTATATATCAATGATTATTATATTATGTAACTCTGTGATCCTAATTATTATTTTTATATATATTTATTCATTCATATTTATATATTAATATTCTATCTAAAATAACTATTCTTTATTGCTTGTTTTGACAGAATTTCTTTTTGCACATATAATCGTATAAAGCAATATTTTGTTATCAAGTGTTTTGTATTATGAAAATAAACAAAGTGTGGTTAAGAGAATGTTTATTGTAAGAAATTACAGTTTGTTATGATTGATTGACTGTAAATCTGAATATGCAACATTATTTGTATCTGTATTATTCTATTCGAAAAATGAAAAAAATCTGCATTTAGATACAAATGAAATAGTACACTTTTAAACAAATAGTTTGTTTCTGTATTATTTATAAATATGTATTTTATTTACCTTTATGTCTGTACGCTAGTCTGATATACTGAAATAGTTTTGTGAAAAGGTTTAAGGGCGAAGGTGTTGCTGATGTTTTGTTCATATTGCGGATAAGTTTCGCTCTCCCGAACTTCCACTC